GTGTGTGTGTGTGTGTGTGTGTGTGTGTGTGTGTGTGTGTGTGTGTGTGTGTGTGTGTGTGTGTGTGTGTGTGTGTGTGTGTGTGTGTGTGTGTGTGTGTGTGTGTGTGTGTGTGTGTGTGCGTGTGTGCGTGTGTGCGTGTGTGCGTGTGTGCGTGTGTGTGTGTGTCTGTGTGTCTGTGTGTGTGTGTGTGTGTGTGTGTCCGTGCGTGCGTGCGTGCGTGTGTGCGTGTGTGTGTGTGTCTGTGTGTCTGTGTGTGTGTGTGTGTGTGTGTGTCCGTGCGTGCGTGCGTGCGTGCGTGCGTGTGTCTGTGTGTCTGTGTGTGTGTGTGCGTGTGTGTGTGTGTCCGTGCGTGCGTGCGTGCGTGCGTGCGTGTGTCTGTGCGTGCGTGCGTGCGTGCGTGCGTGCGTGCGTGCGTGCGTGCGTGCGTGCGTGCGTGCGTGCGTGCGTGCGTGCGTGCGTGCGTGCGTGCGTGCGTGCGTGCGTGCGTGCGTGCGTGCGTGCGTGCGTGCGTGTGTGTGTGCGTGTGTGTGTGTGTGTGTGCGTGTGTGTGTGTGTGTGTGTGTGTGTGGGTGGGTGGGTGTGTGTGTGTGTCTCTATCTACCAGGATACTCACCTTGTATTAAACTAATTAGATCCATAGACTATATTCTAGAGCATTTGAAACTATCTAATGTGACACCTTTTAGTGTGACATCTTGACTCCATCTTCCTTGAACATGAAGTAGGAAGATAAGCAATTAAATACTTATGAAATCCACAAATAACAATTATTTTTAAATCCTCGTCATAACTTCAAACATCTCATTAGAGAGAACACAGTATTCCTTGATGACATCTACCTTCAAACTTGATCATACAATTTACTTATGTATAAAACAAAAGTCATTAGTCCTTTAGTAAGAATACCATTAACAAAACTTAGGTAATCCATCATGTACTCTTCAGACATCCAATGCCCTTAATATCCCTTTTTAGTATCATCACCCAAAGAACCAGTTGATAAAGTGAGACCAAACAAACCACCAAAAACACATTTACTGTAGTTGAGTGTCTGGAGCAGCCAGTGTCAAAATACCAATCACTTTAGTTGAAGTTCTAAGAAAGGTATGAAAAATAAGGCAACTGTCAACTTTCTTGAGTTTTAACCATTTTTTGGTTAACTAAAGCTGAGTTTGACATTTTAGGAAGTCAACAAAAAAACTGTTATGACCACTTTTCACAGAAGAGACATCTTCAGTGCAAGTATCCGCTTTTAGTATGAGTAATCTGATGTCTAGCACAATGTTGAGACATTAAGATTGACATCCTTGACTCGGCTTACCTTTTGATAGAAACAGCCTTTTGTCACTTGAGTTTTCTCTTTGCGTGAAAACCCTATCCTTTTTAGGCTTCCAAATATCTTCACTCTTGAAGAAACTTCTCTAGCTGATCTGAACTCTCCTTACAAACTTGATCGAAATATCAAGTTGAGGATCGAAAGAGTAACCTTACCCTGTAAGTTACAGATGGTAGACAAACCTTCCTTATCTTAATACATAAGATAGGAAAATGTCACCTCTTATTTTCTTCATGGTTGATAACCCTTTTCATTCTAGATACACAGATCTTTGAATAAAATAGTCAGCTCGTCATGAGATAAAACTTCAATATATGAATCTACATCAGAAATCTATCTTCCAGTCAAACCAGCAGCATCCTTGACAAACTCATAAACATGATCACTTTCCTCATTAAACCAAGAAATAAAAAACCCATATAATTGTTCTTTAAGATAGGTAGAGCATTGTGCTTCACGAAGATCTTAGGTCTTCATACCCATTCTACTGAACACTTTGATATTGATTTGTCTTTACTCCAATTCCAGCCTTTTCTTGAGCCTTACGGACCTGTTGATGTCAGTATAAATGTTTTTGAAATTTGGTCAAGATATTCTTCCCATTCCCCTCGCCTGGTTGAATTGCTTTCCTAGGAACACAACAATAATAAGATACCCATCACTTGGATACTAGAACATAAGCTCCCACAGATTTGGAAACAAAAGTCACGCTTTTATTTTTCTTCAAAAGTTGTAACTTCCATGTCAAACCTCTTGAATAGAGGCCTGAGTTTCTTCCTCTATATTTTGAACTCTTTTCTTCCAAAACACTTAGATGCGCCTTTATGAGTGGACTTGACAATTTCATAAGTATCTTTAGCCACAATGCAAGTGATACTGAGTCTGAAAAAAAACTTATCAATTCCATTGATTATGATATTGACCATTTTAGATTTACAAAGAACCAACTCATACTCTTTCCTTTTATCTCCTTAGAACCAAGATATCCTATCTTGACAACTCTCCAAGATTTGTTGTCCATTAAATTCTAGAATGCTATCATTCTAGCCTTTCAACAAAAGAATAGTAGTACCAGAAAAATAATCCCTGAAGCTCACCCAGTAAACAGACCAGTGTGTTTGCTTTAATGCTAATAGGAATTTTGGCACTTGAAACACATGCTAATACTGAAGATAGGAATTTTGGCACTTGAAACACATGCTAATACTGAAGACCCAATAGTAGAACACAATGTCAAGACAGATGTTGTGACATCTGTTCCTAATACAGAATAATAAGAAACTAGAAAATAAATTTTATAATGATAAATAACACAATAGATTGTTAACCTAATTCAATGTAACATCGCCTACTCTGGGGGGCTACCAATCCAGAAAGAAAATTCACTATGATAATATTAGTTCAAAGCCTAAACAGTCCTAGTTTACAACTTTCCGCCTAATCCAACCTTGTGCAACTTCTACCTAGAAATCATAATCTAGATATGAGATCCCCCTCTCATTTCTAATCACTGCAGTGATATCCTACAACCATAAACCTTGTTACTAGAATAAGAACCTAACAGAAGAATACACTTCCAATAGAATACTTAGTCAAGACTCTTAACTAAGAACAATACTTAGTTTTTCTTAAAAGCCTCAACTAAGAACAACACTCAACTATTTGCTTAAAAGCTCATGAGTGAGAATAATAACTTGATAAACAATCAAGTAACAAACTGTTTACCTCGCTGTATCAAAAGATACGTGGGTGACTAATGAGAAACACAAGATACTCTCAAAACCTAAGACTCGGGTTTCCCCTAATTTTAAAATTGTGAAAGTTAAATTACATTAGGTTATGTCTTCTCTTTAAACATTTCTCAACAATCCATGAGCTTCAAAATATTCCCCCTAGAAGTTTTTTATCCACAAGCTAAGTGCTTCAGTAATTATGCAGAAAAAACCTCCTTAAATCTTGGAACAAATCTATAAGATTTCTAAATTGTCTCAACATCCAATTTTATAAACTTTAATGTTGTTGTAGATTTGATTCAGTTGTTCCAGATTCAATCCTCTTGACCTGCATAAATATCGATAATATATCCAAAAGAGATATCACAAAATCAAATCAAATATGTCAAGATTTAAAACAAAAAGCATTGTTGTTCTGGTTCAAGATGTTACTACATCTAGATGAACATCTGTCTTCAGTGTAACCTTCACACTTTGCTGTAACAGTCAGATCAAGATGTTATGATATCTTGCTCAGGAACTTCCATGAACCTTGTTTTAGGATAACCGTTGTCAATCCTAAAACCATGGATCTAACACTCGTGTATATTTCTTGTTGACGACTACTGATATTATGAGGACACATGACTACCTCTTTGGATAACCTGATGTGATACCTTATGTACAACACACCAGCAACACCATTGTTTCCTTCTACTTTGGTGCGGGTGTTCAACATGATCCTTCAATGTGTGACTAGCAGTACTTACAGGAGACATGATAGTTTTCTTTCAGGTGCACAATCAAATTTTACTCATTCTAACGGTATAGTCGAACGAAGATGATATTTCTTGAAAGGTGTTTCTCTAAGGCCTCTCATCGACCCTTATAGATTGGGAGTCTTTCTTTCTTCTTTCACCAACTCGTCAGCTTCTCTGAAATTGACGAAGTCTGGCGATAATTTCAATAGTGTTCACCAAGGTTGTTTTTCTATTGTTTGATATTTTTTTGAACAAAATTGTTTGATTTATTTTTATCTTAGCTATATAGTCAGAGTTAGTGTTTTCTAAACACTCTTGATATTCTTTGTTGCTTTTGTATATTTGTAACGCTATATCTTGCTTTTGTATATTTGATATTCTTTATTGTTTTTATATTCATTCTAATATATGATTCTCTTTTTGTTATTTAAAAAGAATATGTAATCAAGATTTTCATTTAGTTTTATTTAAATTATATTACAATTTTAATTAATAAAATAATAAATATATAAAAATAATCATATAGATTTTAAAACATAATTATAAAAGAAAATTTAAAAATGTTATTTCAAAAACTATAAATTAAAATTTCAAAATGTTTAAAAATATTATATTAAATGTACAAATTTATTTTCAAAGTAATACAAATTAACATGACTTTATTATTATATAATTAAAAGATCAAGTTAAAAAGGTGGACATTTTCCACATAAAAAGATGCAGGACTCTTTGGTATAAGAATTTGGAACCCTAAACAGTAAACCTACTCACTCCCTCACCTTTTATTATTTATCTCTGGAACCCTAAAAATGACAGAGTTTCCACCGCCTTTAGTCACCAAATTCCAATGGTGACAATAAGAGCATACAATGTGTGCTATATGTTTTGAGTAATTTTCTTTGTTGTGTGAAAATTCAGGTGTTTGTGGTTGATGAAAGAGTATGGTGTTGTTGAATCGTGGACTAAATTGATGATCATTCCTCACGAGAAGTTTATTCTGAGTCTTCGTTCTTTTGTTGAGCCCTTGTTCAGTTTAAAAGATAGTGTTCTTTCTACTTATATTTGGGAAAATATATATTTTTTGTTTTAATCATTTCCTTCCAAAGCCCAGTTAATATGAGATGGTGCGAACTATATAAGTCAGAACAAATTGCTTAATAAAAAGTACCATACATCAAACTTAATCATTCAAGAAGCGTCAAAGGAAACAGAAGCAAAACCTACAACATAAAAACCAAAATGACATGTCCTCTTAAATATTTTAAATTAAAAGTAAAATTAAACCTTCCTCATATTTTTTTTTCTTGAGGAAAACACTAGTCAAGACCATCTTGGATTGCAGTGAAGCCTTGAGCAATTTGATGCCCTATTTTAATAAAAAATCAAACAATATAAAAACTTAGGACATTACAATACAAGTTTAATAAATAGAAACAAAAATAAAAAATAAAAAAATAAAAAATCTAGAATAGTAATAATATGTAGTTTACCTCATCCATTCCCATCTCAACAATCTTCTCCTGCAAGGTACCAACCTCTTTGACATTGAACTTGTTCAGCAAAGTGATGCTTGATATTGTTGACATGGGTTGAATGACCAAATCATCCATCACCATGAATGTCACAACATCTTTTACAAAACCATTTTGAACCGCAACATTGCCATCAACAACTTTCTTTCCAACATAACGTGTGAGGCTGTTCATAGCTCGCTTGCAGTTAGAACAAAGAGTTGTGCTATCACATGTGACATCAAAAGTACAGTTACTTGGACATTTATAATATGATGTTCCTCCACCTCCAAGGTTGTTGTTGGTATCAGCTTCATTTGCAGTAAGAAGGCCAGAAATTTCAGGTGGAGCTCTTGGATTCAAAAGAACGTCCTTTGTTTGCCCAACTTGCATGTAATTCTCATTCATGTTTTCAACACTGTCGTACAGATTTCCTATACTACCAACCATGTCATTCTTGGTTAGTAGTTTTACGACTGTGCCAACAGGTATGCGAAGCAAATTAAAGAGGAAATCAATGACATTTTTAGATGCTTCAGCGAATAGAACTTTTTGATTCTTGGTGTCAATAAGAAGTTTGAGGGTCACTTTGGTTGTGGCTGAAGAAGAAGATGACATATTTGAAATCTATACGTGTGTGCTTCTAGAATTGAAAAAGAGACTCTGTTCATTTATAGGCAGAAAAAGATGTACAATTAATTAGCAAGAGCTTGGGAATGTGGAAAGCATTCAAACATTTATAGCTTACAGAAGCGGTTCATTACTCCATGCAGGAGGGGTGTATGTACTAATCGTTATTTGAAATGCACATTCTAATACTTCTATTGTTACATTTTAATAATCTACTTACAATTATTCATGGCTATAGTCACGATCAATTATAGTAGTACTTTATTTATTTAATAAAAAGTCTATGAAAACATTTTTTTCTTTTAGTCTATCATTGTGCGGGATTTAGTTTTGGGTTGGGGCAGACGATGGTTGCGCTGCCCTCTTTATGTTGAAGTTATCTTTGGTACTTGATGCATTTTTCTTGGTCCTTTTAATTGTGCCCATCTGCCCATTATCTAAGGGTACTTCATAGTTAAGTATAGCGTCGACAAGGGGCCTCTAGAATTTTGAAGGCGGCCAATGATGATGTTGCATGACGATGGAGCGTATGTGACAAGGTACCTCACTTTTATTAACTTGAGGGCAATCCGAAAAGGGTACTGATGAAGATATAGCCTTTGACTTAAACATGTTCGCCCGAGAAATACACCAAAGAACTTTTGAATAATTGTAATTGTTCTAAATCTAGCTTCAATCTTTCAAAGGTGTTTCAATAGAGGACATCGATCGAGCTATGATGATCTACTAAGAAGCGTCTGACATCCTAATTAAATAATTGTACGCTAATGACTATGGAATCGTCTTCATGGGGCATGATTCATGTCACGTCACGATGAGAGAAAAGGACCTCAAGCCCAGGGGTTGATCTGGGCTTTGGGGGAGAGTCCACTACATGCATAACTTGGTGTGAGTACTTTTTTCAAGAATAGCTCGACTCGTCTCCTCCAGTGAAGCCTTCGATGATAGTGATAACTGTATGGGATGTTGCCTCACCGTAAGTCCTTTCTTCATGCTGTTTTTCTCTTCTTGGTTAAGGGCTTCTAGGTCGAACACACTTAGATGGGAGTGGTCTTCCTCCATAATTAGAAGGTGTTTACTAAACATACCTTTTCAAATGGCCCTCCTGGATGAGGAGATTAATCTCTTTATACAGTTGACGATAGTCATCTGTATGATACCCTTGGCTTTGTAGTATATGCACCACTTATTCAGATCATTCCACATTCCCTCCCACTGAGGGTCGGCGGTTCTAGAATAGCCTTCATGTGGAACACTTCTTGTCATATATGTTCTCACCTGGTGTTAAATGGTAGGCAAATCTCTGTTGGTCTTCTCTTGCGAGAAGTGGTTCTTGGATTGATGAGAGGACTCAAATCTCCCTCTACAATGCTCTTTCGCATCTCTCACTAGTGCAGGAAAGACTTTTTACATCGGGTAAAAAGCACATTTTATATCGGACCCGAGTCTGATGTAAAGTCAAACGATATAGTAAATCAATGACATTTTACATCGGGCCACAGTCCAATGTAAAAAATACACCCACCGCATCGGTTGCTTGTTAAGTTTGATGTGAAAAAAATACAATTTTTGTTTAAAAAATAAACCCAATATTTTACATCGGTTGTCTTATTGGCCCGATGTAAAATATGTGTTTTTACATTGGTGGCCGTAATGGCCTGATGTAAAATGTTTATAATTTTTCGTTAAAAAATTGACTATTTTTTAGCGAATTTCCTGTAATTTTTTTGGTACCTAATTTTTCATATTTTTCCAACATCACACAGATCATATTTAGGTCGTTATATGTCATAGTTCTCCAACATCACATAGACCATATTTAGGTCGCTATTTTCATATTTTTCTAACCAACCTAATTTCATTCCACCAAATAGCTATGATTCACATATAAATTCTTCAAAATAAACAATTGATTTACAAAATGAACAATTGATTTACAAAATTATAAGGAAGTTTACATGGTGGACTACAATAACAAAACATACAAAAATATCAAACCATTTATAAGTCTTTTCCCACACTTGAATTACCAATATGAAATCCACAAGTAGATGGGTTGTAGCTTCGTTAGACAACACCAAAATCACATTGGCTGACAATAAATAATAACACCAATTAACATCAGCTGACAATTCAAGAAACTCAAATCACACATATAATGCTTAAAAACTGATTTTCTACAAAGATATAAAAATATCCTATACATAGTATGATATGTGATCATTAGTGTAGGAAAGTCTAAACAAACTTTCAAGAGATATGTGTCAATAGTGGTACTTACCTCAACTTGAAGAACAAAATATTTGCCAGATAGTAAACCATGTGCCAATTTCGTCATATGATAAAATAGGAATAATTAATATATTTCCCTAACAAAATAAATAATAAAAATTAGGGGGAGTGTGGAGAATATAAGGACCTAAGTCCAAAATCATATGACAAGTTAGATCTAATATAGATAATTAATCATTAAAACAAAATAATAGAAAAAATTCTAGGGACATTGTCCATTTTTCAATAGAATCCACCTCAAACTGAGTTTTCTCCGTTATAGTTTCAGACAGGTTTCTACCTTGGTTTTCACTATTCTCCCTCTAGAGAAATTCTCTACCAACCAAGTAAGTTGTTTTAACCTCAGCTCTTCTCTGAAAACTCAATAACAACTCAGCGATAACATGCATTTTCATCACTTGATTTATGCAAAATTTATTATACTCCTCTAAAACTTTCTCAAGGCATTCATAACGCCTTAATCTCAAATCCCATAGTTCTTCATTGTAATGAAAGCCTCCACTGGTTAACAATGAATGAATAACAACATTTGGACCTTCTAAAATATATACAACATATATTTTAGACCATTTAGCAATAATCAATTCATCATGCGAAATCTTCCACACTCCATGTCCACACTTCGGGGCTGTCAGGAAGCCAATTTTTGCATTCGATTGGGTTGGGACTTTCCAACCAAATTATGCCTACTTTCACCCCAAGTATTGTTGTTGTCATGAGGCAACAGATGGATAAAAGTAACCATAAAATAGGAAATATGCTCACTTAACAGATGAGTCTCATATTAAGACCTTTAATTGAAAATTCAGTGCACAGTTATCAGACTTTAGCAACTCAAATGACTCGCATTGGAGATTTTCTTGGTGCTCCTAGAGCGCCAGTTCGACAAGCTGCACCCTCACCCCATGAGGAACCAGTGCAGTAAGAGGAGGTTTTTGATGAAACGGTCGAACAAGACCCACCGACTCCTTCGCGTTTCGACCCCATACTTAAGGTAGTACAACAACCCCCGGTGGTAATAGTGAATAAAGACCAAGATGTCGACCAACTGGTCATGCATATTCAACGAGAAATAGTGGCCGGGGAACAAAACCTATAAGACATTGTCGAATGAATAATGGTTAGGAATGGAACGAATTCTAACTATCAAAGGACTATGTATGTTTCTCCATTTCCAGATTTCGTGTTATAGACGGAGTTACCCAGAGGGTGGAAACTCCCAAAATTTACTAAGTTTGCAGGGGATGTCGAAGAATCCACTGTCGAACATATTGCCATATACCAAACAGAACTTACCGATTTAGTAGTGAATGAGGATTTGAGGATGAAATATTTTACCAATTCCCTCACAAATAATGTGTTCACTTGGTTTATAACGATTCCCCCAGTCAGTCTAAACACGAGTCCAGTTAGAGAAATTGTTCCATGAGCAATTCCACATGGGGAAATCCAAAATAAGCCTAACAGAATTGTCTAGTGTCAAACGAAAAGAGCACTGAGTTAATAGACTAATACCTCAACGGGTTTAGACTTTTGAAAGCATGGTGCTTTACACAAGACCTTGAACATGAGTTGGTCGAAATATCTGCAAATGGGTTAGAGTATTCCATTAGGAAGAAATTATTAAATACCCAGTCTTTGAAGGGTATGGCTCAATTAGCTATCAAAGTTCGACATGTCGAATGTTTGAAAGCTGAAAAAACCAATCCAAACAAGTATCACGAGAAAGGGCATGTTGCTTATGTGGCAACTGACGAATGTTCTTCTGACGAGAATGAGTCAGGGGAAGAAGTAGATGTTAACATGGATGAACTCCAGCCTGGACCTCCTTAGGCGTGTAAACTTTTGAAACCGTCAAATGGGAAAAAGCATGGAGAAACTGAAAAGAATGACAAAGCCATCACCAAGACCTATACTTTCGACATAACCGGATATGATGAAATATTTGATTTGTTAGTAACTGATGGTCAAATTGTGGTCCCTCTGGACCTAAAGAATCCCTCATTTGAACAAAATAAGAAAAGGGGATTCTGTAAATTTCATAATTTTCTTGGTCATAAAACTTTTCTATGTGTTCTTTTCAGGTATTTGGTGCAGAAAGCTTTGAAAGATGGCAGGCTTCAGTTTGGCGAAAAACCAATGATACAAGTCGACACTGATCCTTTGAAGGTTGAAGAGGCTTTATATTCAGAGCCTCTAGATTGCATGATGGTTGGACCTACTGAGGGCCTCGATAGAGAGGTTATAATGATTGGTGACATAGAAGTTGTGTTGGTTGGAACCCATGATAGTTTCGACCTAAAGATGGAAGAGGGATTACATGTAGTGTACCCTCATCCTGAATAAAGCTTAACTAACTTTCAAGAGAAATGCATAGTGAAAGGGTCGAAGGCAAAATTGTGCCCAAGATGCAATGCTATGTTTGATGAAGAGGAAGTTGAGAAATATAAAGCTGTAAAAAAAAGAGGCTCTTAAGCAAGAGAAGCCTCTAGTCCCAAGGTTTGTTTTCGACAAGAAAGGAAATCCTCGACGCAATAAGGAATACAGAAGATTGTTCAAACAACCTCATCCAAAAAGCTTTCGCCTTCCATAAGATATTCCACAAGAAAAATGGGTGGGAACAGTGATCCAAAAGGGGGAAAAAGGCCAAAGTGGAAGGTTATTATACATGAAGCTAAGGCCCAAGAAAAGAAAGC